TAGCCGTCATCGTCGCGTATTATACGCGTGTATATGCTATTTATTACGACACTCAAACGCTGCGCGTGTGACTGCGGAGGAACCAGGAAGTTGTTCGCATTTCAGCAGGCTGTTTCAATGCCAGTGCTGGCATCCCGGCAGAACTGGTCAAGTCGCCTTTTCGTGATTTCAAGATATTCAAGTTTCAAGACCAAACAAACGATTTCTGATAATCGACATCCAGCCACAATTGTCTGGATTTCGTTTCAAATAATTTCCAACACTGCACCCAAAGTTTCTCCAAAGCGTTGTTTAGCCTGTTATTTTCAAACGACTGCGCATTGTCATCGATTTAACTTAGCCTGCATCAGAGTATCTTTGGCGAGCATGACTGAGATATTTATCAGTGATACACATGACTTAGCGGTGGCTTGTAATTTTATAAGAATAGTTTCTTTATGATGGACACGTTTACGACGTTTGATCAATTTAACCAATAAAGCCTAAAACAACTTTTGCGAAACATCCCAACTTATTATACGTCGTGATTAATTATTGTAGGTTCTAGAACTTTTCAACCTTTTATATTTTCCAAATATCTAATATTGCAAAAGATTCATCTTTTATCGCCTGCGAATACAGATTTTGAGACTGAATACGGATTTGAGTCAAATTTTGCATGGTGATTTTCCGAGGTATGGATTTAACTTTAACCTTGCTGTCTCATACCTCCAAAGAGATCTACTTATATTGCACTAATTCAGCGTTAACTCAATTTTTATAAAATTCAAACTTGGCCTATGACACTGGCAAACCATACATAAATATTATCTATCTACGTGTCGAATTTTCTTTGTTTACGCAATCTACGCACAACAGATTTTTATCGTAGTTTTTTCGCTGACGACTAAAAATACATACGTGTTCGCCCAAGAGAAATAGGTTAATTTCTAGCGAAATTGTGTGTATACTCCTCCGGCGACACGTGTGCACATAACCGATACTACATAGGCGAGACCTCAAATATTAATTGAAGCGACGATGAGTAATGCCAGCAAAGGTCCAAATTAAGTTTTTGTCCGCGGCTGCCTGACGAATTTCCATTGATCAGTAATCAATAGGCTGATCGAACAATGCTGCTGGGAGTGTTTTGTTTGCTCAATGTGCTCAAATTTGAACAGGGGCATTATAACAAGAGAAATTCGCAGGAGAGAGCAGGAAGAGAAAGAAGGTGAACGTAGCCACACGTAGACTGTACGCCAATCGTTGGACAATGCACGAGTTGGCTTGCCGTCTAATACGATCGCTCGGCAAAGCTAAACGGGCATTCGGGAATATCTACCTGGCGAAAACAGAAGAAAGCCGACCTTGGTGGTAGAGACCGAACGCGCTCGTCAAACAAACGGTCTCGCGCGCGCGCGCGCGCGGCCGCTCGGAGGAGAGAAGGCGCTGCTTCGAAAACGAGACGATTGGCTAAATATCTCATGGTTTGGCGTGCGAGAGAGAAAGAGAGAGCGGAGGCGAAAGTCCACCTTGCGGCGCAGAAAAGCCCAAAGGAAAAGAGCCACACACGCGCGCGCTCCTCGCGAGACCGCATTCCTCAGGGGGCGATCGCCTGTGCGCAGCTCTCCATGCCGCACGTCTGTGTGTGACTGTGTGTAGTGTGCCCATGCCACAGAGAGAGGCGGACTAAACCACACAGGCATATGTGTACGTGTGTGCGCGAGTGTGTAGACACACGTACACACTGGACGCGCTGATTATTTTAGAGACTACTGGTGGTTGGCCTATTCTTTGCCTGTGTGTCCTCTCTGCAATCGCCGATTTTTTTCACAACATTTATGGGATCAAATTAGTCTTCCTGGTGTTTAAACTTACAAAGAAATGCAAAACTAAACATCAAATGAAATTCAAATTGTTCACTAAGATAAAATTGTTTCACAAAGCAGTCACCGCCGTATTTTTCTGTACGAATAATTACAAGACCTTAATTTTTTATAATTGTAAAAGCAAATATACGAGTGTTACTATTGACCAAGCAACAAAGAACAAGACGGAAGCCCAGCTACACAAGTATTAAAATTCGCGCAACGTCAAATAAATTGATGAATCGAATTTGTACGCCCCTTCCCCTTTTTTTACAAGCTTGCGTCAGAGCGCCAAAAATCGAGATCTTTTTTTTCTTTTTCTTGTCGGAAATAGTTACTTAGTCACCGCGAAATTTCCCCAACCCTAGCAAATCAATTTGAAACCCATATCAATGCGGTGGCACAATATACTACTGGCTCAGCAACAAATCGACAGAAAAATAAGAAAAAAAAGAGATAGAGGCGGCGGGTCAACGAACAGCCCGCGAAATGCCGTCTTCTCTCTCTCTCTTGTACCGACGCTGCCTGCCTGCTTTCTTTCCGTCCTCGTTATAGAACGCGTGTGTAAGAGCGTGTGCCTCGGCTGGATTTTCATTCATGAGCGACAATTGAGGTCATTTTGTAAAAGGCCTCCTCTTCCGCATTGGAATCCGATTTCCTTTGCAGAATGCCTCTCCTCACTACTATACATGCTAATTATACGGAGCTTATCAATTTCAGACACAACGTTTACCATGTGCAGTGTGTTACGCAAGGAACGCTGGGCAAATGTTGTTAACGTTTGTACGCAGCTTATGCATAACTATTAATCGTGACTGTTCAATATTTAGGGTGAGCTGAATTAATGATTGGATGACATTGTTGCTGCCGCACGATTAGATTCAAAATTATACTTATACGTTTTTTCGACAGACAGTTGAAAAAATTATTTGATTGATTTAGCTTGTAGAGTTTGCAATTCTAACAAAGAGTTGATGCTTCGTTTTCATGTAGATAGCTTTGCTTGAGTGATCGTTCAAATTTATTGATAGCTCAATGGAAATTTACACAAATACAACGTCACTTCTCTCCCTCTTCCTCCAACGGAAGATTATTTCATAACGTATGCACCATTTACGGAAGTGATTTCTTAGATCATCGAGAATAATATTTTTAATTAAACATTCATAGTCGATTCATGAAATGAAGAATAATAATGAACTTCTAATAAACTGTTGCAATTATTTTTAATCAGAAAACAAATAAGAATTTTCAGAATGAAACGTGTTTGCTCAGTATACGTTATACAGTTGGCTGAGACAAATACGTGAACGCAAATTATTTCCATGCGATCACTCTGCGTAAAAAAATCATATCACCACGATAAAGATTTATGAATAATCACAATAAAGTTTACAATCCTTTCTCCAATGAAATCGTAACATCTTGTGTTTTCGCGATAAAAAAAGAAGCATGTGCTCGACAGACAGACTACGACCCAGTTGGCACAGTTTGGCGGAAGAGCGAGACACGCGGAGTAATCACCAATTTTTTATGGACTACCTTTTACAATTTGAAGTATACGTTTATTTTCGACTTTCACCTCTGTCGCATCAAGGTATCTATAACAATGGCACACACGAACGTTATTCAATCGAAAAAAACATCGAAAAAACAAACAATGAACAACGGAATATATGCACGCACCAAAAAAAGGAATGATCGTAAAATAGAGGTTATGTCAGCGCGAAGAGACTTACCTTCATGAGGCTACGAACTACGGCAGCTGTGGGCTCTCGTATTTGAAGAAAGAGAATGGGGAAAAAGTCTTGCACTTATCACAATTTTTAAAAGAGAGAACGGCTGTTATTATTGTTGACCGTTCAACAATTGATATATCACACGTATATATATAATACGTACACTAAAACACGCACACACACACTTTGTGGGATGACGAGACGCGCGCGTTTCTCGACGCCTCTCAACTCTCAACTACTATACACAAGCTGCTGCTCCTGAGCGCGAACGCTCTTTAGCTGCAATCTGCCAGAGTCGAGAGAGCCCGTCCGTCGACGCTCTGCCTGCTTTTAGCTACCGCGCTATGCTACATACATACTATGTGGGGGGACGCACGCGGCACGGAGCAACATGGAGACGCTTGGTTTTTTTTCCTACTCAAGCTTTTTCTGCATTCTCTGCCGCTTCATCACAATTCATCTTGATATAACTGGCTATATGAAATTTTATTGTACTTAGTTTTTTTTACATACGTTTGATAGCGACAAACTTTCTTAAATTATAAAAGCTGATCCAAGCTGATTGTAAAATCGCAGGTGTTTATACGTCTCATGACGTCACGTCAGCTCAACGGAGGCGCACAACCGTGCACGTGAACAGCTGAAATGTTTTTTTTTCTCTGCTCTGGCCAATGGGTTGGCCAAGGATATGATTACACTATGTAAATTTAATGCTGAATTTTATTTTTTATAGACGCTTAACATTGCCGAATTCATAAAACAAAGTACATAATCATAGTAAATCAATGTTGAAAAAAGCAAGAGGGAAAAAGGAGACAACTAGCGACACCTAACAATGAAATGTGGTAATCTCCGAAACTAATACTGATCACTGATGCTACTGATACTATACTAAATACTCATGAGATGGCCATGGCGGATGGCATGGGACTATACAAAGTATACTTTGTATAGTCTCCATGGAATAGACTGTATGTATTTGCAACGCTCGGCCGAGTATAAGCAGAAGTGAACAGCGGTGCATTTCAATATATACATTTGTGGCCACTAGCCAATTTGGTATCTCGAGGTATAGTCGCCTCGAATATATAAACTGAAGTGCGCCACTTGCCACTTGATTAGCTTGGCTTAGACGAGTACTCAGCGTTGTGTTTGTAAACGCAGTCTATAACAAATATAATAAATTTAACAAATACAAATTGTGCGATTAGCTCAAAAGCTTTAAAATACTGCTCATCATCATACTGAAAGTTCTATTGTTATAACCACGTAAGTGAATATACCAAATATTTATTTATCGATATAAAATATCGCCGAATTTAACCTAAAACTCTTAAATTTTATAATAATATGAAATGCATTTGAATAATCAATAATTGGGTCACTTTAATTTTAAATATTTTTCTAGTAGAAAATGGTTTGCGATAAGTGCGAAGCGAAGCTGGGTAAGGTAATAACACCTGATCCATGGAAAGCTGGAGCAAGGAACACAACGGAGAGTGGTGGACGTAAAGTTGGTGAGAACAAGGCGATCACCGGAGGCAAGTCGAGATTCAATCCTTACATGGCGAAATTCGAGAACTGCAGGATATGTCGTCAAAAGGTGCACCAAGCTGGCTCGCATTACTGTCAATCATGTGCTTATAAGAAAGCTATCTGTGCTATGTGCGGCAAGAAGCTTATGAGCACTAAGAATTACAGGCAATCTGCTACGTAGATGTGTATGTCTTATAGTTGAGAGGATTCTCGTGTGGAGTAATATAATTTTAATTATTCAAAAGTCAACGGATAGTGGAACTGGTGATTGTGAATTGAATATAATGTAGTTTCAGAATGTTGGATAAATTTTACTTGTGTAACTAGCTGCATAGATAAAATATTATATTCAGTTTTATCTGTACGACTACTATTATTTCTGTCAAGCTCTTGTACAGATTAATTGTTATGGACTCAAACGAAATAATTTATCCTTTTGGGTATTTCTAACTGTAAATGAAATTTGTGAATTCTAATGGCATAATTATATGAGATTGACAAATTTGTAAATAATAATATTTAGTTTAGAAATTAAATATTGAATAAAGTAGCGACACAATCAAAATTAATTTACAAGGATAATTTTCTTTATTCTCCTATAAAAGATCAAATAAATTATAGACTTTGTAGTATAAACAATAAGTTTTTATTTACTTGTTACATAAATGACTTTCTAATGAGTGTAATGATCACGTATATATTTTTTATATATACATATGTTGAAATAGCTTCATTAACAACCACACACAAATTAATTAATCAATGATCTTAAGGAGCACCAGACTTGTGACTTTTCTGTAAAAAAGTACATTAGATATAAAAATATACTTTAGGTGGCACCAACCTTCAAAAAAAATGTTATCATGGAAAAATATACACCAACAATGAGTAGATCTATTAAGTTTAGAAAATAACTTATTCTGTGAGAGTACTAAATTGTAAAGTAGTATAATGATGCGTTGGTCCCTGCGTTATGAAACTCAAGCAAAGCCATTATTGTCTTGTCCATCCATTGACTATGTTATATACTATTGTTATAACAATTGACAGATCAGTCAAATAGACTTAAACACTACTAAAGTATTTCAATTCCTAATTATTGCATGTTTTCTCTGATTAATCGTGTGATGCTTTGATAGTTAAGTAGCTCAGAACAATTTATAAAATATTGTACGCTTAAAAATCTAATGAAACTATAAAAAGAAATAAAAGAAAAATATTCCAACAAAATCATTTGATAACAATGACATTTAGATTTGAAAAACTCGCTTAACTGTTAAAAAAGTTAATTGATATTGTGAACCTCTTTGATACATTCATGAAAACACACTGGCCTTTATATACAACGAGATACATACACACTGTACACAATGATTCAAGCTTTCGCTTCCTCTTTGCATCAGAAATTCACTTTCTCAGCGCGTCCTTTTATGGCACATTCAACAATGAATAACTCGACAGAATCCGCACACGACATCACTCATATAAATGGAATTTTCATTCAACTTAATCGTAATGACAAATAGTATATATACTCTACGCAAATTCGAAAAATCTTAATCAGTTACATGAATTTTCTTTGAATCATTAGTAAGAATTGTATAGTCAGAGAAACAGAAATTTTAATATAAAATACGTAACAGTGCCTAAGATTTCTAAAAACAAACATTCGAGTTCTTTAGCGAACATTCTATCGTGTACATAAAGCAGTAGAATCTTATTCTCTTTGATTTCTCACTTACAAAACAGTTAATAACAAAGTCGGAGATCCGGCATTTTCAAAAATCATACATTCGAAAGCCAGAGCTCCTCTCCGCAACGATTTCTTCACTTGTGACCTGATTTCTCATCGCCGAGCATAATACTCGTGACTGGTTGCGACCCATTAGCCCAGGGATTGATCTCCTGCTCGTCTTGAAGATGTGCCCATGAACTCTCGTACCTTTTCTCGGGCTCTCTCTCTCTCATTCTATACTCCGACACATAAACCACCTGTCGATCTTCATCTTCGGTCTTGACGAATCTCGGGGCATCGGTGCGTCTTGGTGGCACCGGTGGTTTCTTCGGTAGTTTTCCATTCGCTTGTTGCTTTGATTTGGAATCGAGGATCGCGACAATTTCCTCATCGGCGCTTTGAGTGTCGTCGAGATTGGAAGCCGACGATACCTTAATCTCGGTGACGTAGCTGGGTTTGGCGCTGTTCACTGTGACAATCTCATCGTCGAGCGAGATCGGTTTGGCGTAGTGAGTCTCGAATTGCGCGAGATCGCGTCTCTTCGTGCACGTGTGCCTATCGTGTCCGTCGTCGCATCCCGGACAGCCGAATCTTAGGGTCACTTTGGACAACGGCTCCTCGACGACCTCTCGCTTGCCGGCATACAATTGCTCTGGTGGCTCGGGAATGCTGACGATCGTCTCGGCGTTCGGCAAGAAGTCACCGTTCTCCGCGTGCTCCGCGAAGTAGCGTACCGCCTTTTCGAACGACGCTTTATCCTCCGGCTTCTCGTCCAGCTTGGATGCCACTTTCTTCGTGGGCAGATGTTCTTCCGCCAGCAAGTCTCCGGGCAACGGATGCTTCTTAATGAACTGCTGCTCGACTTCTTCGGGCGTTGGCGACTTGAGCACTCGACCATCGTTTACGAGCCTCGCCAACGCATTGTCTTCGCCAATGTCAAATAGCCTCTCGGCCTCGATGAACTCCTGCGTCAATCTCTTGCTCAACGGCAGATTGTACAACTCTAGACTTGCTTCCGGCGCCGCGTCGTCGTCCGACGGCTTAGCTGATTTCTCGCTCGTTTCTCCATTCTCGTGCTTGGCTTCGACATCGGATTGCGACCTCTCCAGAGTCGTCGCGCTTTTCTTTCGGCTTCTTTCGTCACTCGGCCATATCGCATCCTCCAAAGTACCCCACTTGCTGGATTTTTTCAATTTGTTGTTTTTGTCACCGCCGATCTTGGTCAAGTCTTCGGTCGACTCGCTTATATCTTCGGGTGGCTGCGTTGAAGTTTTACGTTTCTTCGAGCCTGAATCTGTCATGTCGAGACTCTGCGCGCGTTCCAAAGTCGAAGTCGTTTTGTTTTCGTATTTCGACAAGTCACCAAGACTGGCTGCTTTGCGGTACACGTCGTCTTCTTCGTCGTTGTGACTTTCTGGTACTGGCGTGTGGTGAATCGTTATGTCCGATGGATTCAGCTCGATCGTTGTGAAGTTATTGTGCTGGATCTCGCTGTCGGTGTCCGACTCGGAGTTGCGGCGTTGTTTCGTCGGCGCCGTGGGCGCTGTTGTTGACGATGCAGCTGTTGGCTTGTCGTTATTGTTATTCGCTCGCGGCTCCTCGGATTCCTGCAATTGAAGGACAAATATTTCATTGTTACTCGTTTTTTGGTTGTTTCTTTTTTCGAATTTAAATAAGGATAAGGCTATTGTTTCAATTTATAAATTGTTAATGTACAGCAGAGTTTGACCAATCGATTAAATCCTCACCGTCTTGATTGTCAACTCGTCAATGCTAACAACCGGAACAACGTCTCCGTTCAGCTGCATCTCATCAAGCTTCATTATCATTGTCTTTTCGTCAGTGGATGTTGAACGCGATGGTGGCGCTGGTGCCTTTCTCTTGCCTTTTTGTGGGCTCTTCGCCTCGGCAACTGGCTGCAGCTGTTGTTGCTGCTGTTGTTCGATTGTCGGTTGTGCAGCTGGTTCTCGTATCATCTCTTGAGCGGCTTTTTGCAGCAATTCAGAGCCTGAACTTTTACGTTTGCCACGTGCGGCCATCGCTGCATTGTGCACTTCCGCCGGTACGTCGTCTGCGATCATTACTATCGTCGATTGTTCCTGATGCTGTGAAAACAATAATTTTGATTACAATTATTGAGCTATGACAAAATCAAAAGCTCGGAAATAGCACATTCTTTATTTGTTTGTGTTTAGATAAGAGTTGATTTCATTTACCTCTAATCAACTTTTCATTATGCGTTCGAAATAATCAAAATTGTCATTAAAAACAAATTATAAGTAGTTAGGGCAATGGATTTGTCATATGACCAACAATAATATGTAAATGCCTTGATAAAAGAATAATTTTCAAATTACATTTTCATTATTTACGTTCATCAAGTTCTAGCATAATCGAATTTGTATTTTCTTGAAAGAAAAAGACAACAAAAAATTATTTAGAATTCATTACTCGTGAGCTAAAAGATACTTTTCCGTGTAAAAAAAAAAATAAACAATGCATATACCTTGGCAACTTCAGCAGCGCGATCAGGCACGTCGATACCATCAGTCACTTGGATAACCTTCTTAATGATATTGCTTCTTTGCTGATTGGCCTCGTTGACAAGTTTCTCGACGGCTTCCATTTTCTTCGAATGGCGCCTCTCTAAATTGGTGTTGTGCTCGTTCTGATTCTCAACTCGATGCACAGTACCGTCCAGAGCCGGTAGAACCTTGATCCCGAATTTCGTATGGTGATTGACTTTCTCCTGTCTCTCTAATGTCTGACTGCCGGGTGTCGATTTGGTCGATTTCAATGTCGCCGAGTCTTCGAAAAGTCGCTGCCTTGAGTATAACTTGGGCGTTTGAGACAAATCTGGGATGGATTGACTTCGATACAGAGGATGGCAGAGACGAGTTGGACTTGGACCAACACTTTTCTTTAAAAGTGTCGTAGGCTTGGAACCTGACCCACCACCACTTTCAACTTCTAATTCCACGTCGTAGGGCGAGGCATAGCTAAGAATCGTCAGTGCGTCCTCGTAGACCATTGAACGGAAGCTTATTTTCACGCTGCTTATACGGTCACCTGTTGGATTTACGAGCGTTTATTATTTATTTCCAATAAACTAAAAGAGCGAGTGCCAGCCAAGTCAGGTAAACGATAGGTACACGATCGCGAACGTGCAGAACAAACGTAGAAAGGAAAATAATGAAAAAGAACGTTCGCAATGTCACGTAGCAGAGATTATAATTAACTAATGCAACAAGAGAATAGAACATTACGATGCAAGTGCGCAAAGTAGGCGGTTCCCGCACGAGCGAGATCGGTAACGCAGGTGCCCACTTTGCGCACGCGTATCGTACTATTTTCTCATATGAGTAGTAATTTTGTTATATTATAATTGCCAAACGATAACAGCTTCAATTTTAAATTTTCCACATTATTTTTATACAAGTTGTTTTAATTAATTACATATGTAATTATGATACCTATTATTATATATATTGATATACATTAATATATCAATAATGATAATAATAGATATCATAGTTGTATGTGTAAGTAATTCGTAATATTTTTACATTTTTCCTTCAATTGGATGAAATAAATTTTTTCAGAGATCGGTCCTATCTGCTGTTCAGAAAATAAAAAAAAATTATTAGTAATGCTGAAACGTCAGTTAATATTTCCTACTGCATTGCGATATTTTGCAACAATTTTACATTTTTATTCGACAAAGGCTTATAATTATGTGAGAGAAACATTCATTAAATCTCTGCCACATCTAGCTGCAATTAGCAAATGGTATAATAATAATTGAATGTAAAGCTGAAATACATAAGGCTAGTATAGAGATTGTAAAACAAAAAGTATAAGCTTTTAAACGTGATAAAAGTCTTGGTCAATTATTTCGAAATCTAGTCATGGATGAGATGAAGATGAAAAAGTAATTTGACTGCACTAACGATAAATAGTATGGCTACATAGGTATAGGAAAACAAATCGATGACTCAGTACTTCCAGCTGAAAACATTAGGTTCCGTAATGACAATAAATATTCCTATGAGACAGTATTTTCATCATCAATTAAGTTAAGACAAAAATTTATCTTATATGACGGTTCCCATGTTTTAAAATGAATTAGAAATCCGCTTGCAAAATATATGTATTTTTATGACGGAGATGGTAATCTCGTATCATGGATTCACCTCGAAAAATTCGTCGATTATCAAGAAACTTATAGCCTTGAAGTTGTGACGAAAATGACTTCACAGCATCTGAACTGGGAAGATAATAAAATGAATGTGAAAATTGCAGCACAAACGTTAAGTATGAGTAATAGTGTTGCATTAAACCTGCAAGTCGACCTTCGTATACGAGAATTTAAAAATACTAGTGACGTTTAGCGCGCATTGCGCGCTTATCTTTTTCGTTTTTTTTTTTTGCATTAATTTTAAAGCAAGAATGTATGGATTAAAACTTTCCCGTGATTTGAAGTAATATATAGCCGTCGATATTATTTATGTTGGTAAAAAATAAGCAATGACTGTGACAGTTGATACTCATGATTTAAAAATGTTATCAATGTAAGTTTTAAGTTTTTATCGTCTGAAGTTATGTGTTGAATAATTATTGAAAAGTTTAGAAAACATGATAAAAAAATGTAATATAAGTTACAAAAACGATGTAAATAACATACTTCGATGGACGTTTGCGGTAGTAATTAGTGTATCTTCAGACAATTTTTTTAATGCTTCACGCAATTTATAAACCGAAATCACTGTACAATATTTTATCGAGGTAATACCAATTAATATTTTTTTGTTTATTCGAAGTTTTCGTAGAAAGCACTTAATTAAACTTTCTTATAAAACAAAGTTCAATTAAGTTTTTTATCGAAATATCGGTTTTTATTATAAGGTTAGTCAATCAAATGAATGTGTACATTTTTCTCTTTGTAACCTTACATAAAAATAACTTAAAATCTTTTTTGCAATTATTAATAATTAAATTACATAATTAGTATCGAATTCATGCCAAGTATACCGATGCACTTTTCGATCTTTTAATCCTCTACGAGTATCTGCAGTGATCTTTTATGAGGGAACCGAATACACACGCACGCGCGCGTGATCATACGATCACGTAACAACTAATCATGTGACTATCTTTCAGCCAATCAGATCACGAATAAACTCGCTTCACTTTGTCAGGTTCTCTTTTTTATAAGAGGAGGAGGATCAGATCACGAATAACTCGCTTCACTTTTTCAGGTTCTCTTTTTTATAACAGGAATAAGAGGAAGATGAAGGAGGATTAAAGATACAGCACAGTTTTGTTTGATGATTAATGATAGATTTGACATTTTGAATTCTCGAGATCGTTTTAATATGCAAGGTAAGTATAAGCTAAGAGTATGCGAAAAAAATTTAAAAGAAATTATTACTAGAGGAAAGGAAATAATTAATTACATTAGAAAATTAAGGCTTGCCAACGGTTCAACGGTTCTCTTTTAATACACTCCAAAAAGAAAACCGGCTTTGTAGGAACACTTTTTGATTAAAGAGTGTTATCGATATTTATAATAATTATTTTACAAAGGTCATTAGATAACTTTTGATTATAAATTATCTCAGGATAATTTAGAATTATTTTTCAGTTCAATCAAATCAAAAAGAGGAAATTCAAATAATCCTACCTCTATCCAGTTCAATAATATTTGTAAAAAGCTTCTTGTACATGCTGAGATCAACAACTTTTCAAATACAAATCGCATCGGCTTAGATAACACTGAGATCCTACGTATTCCAGCTGAGCCGTGGACAAAATATATATTTTTACATATATATATTTACAAATACACATATATATTTTTACAAAACTAAAACAAATTACTTTAACGTAAAAATTTAGTTATAATAAATGTTATTTCTGTAGCTATAAAGCAAAGTTAATTTTAATAATGTAAATAAAAAAATCATATTTCTACATCAACATATCTTTTATTCTCAAGAAAAAATCTAATACCTACAATATATAAGACAATATTTTTTACGTTTTAAATCAGTTTTGATTAGTTTTGATTTGATTTTTTTAGCACGAGAGATTATTTCTAAACATGTTTTTATTTTTTCAAAACTTTAAAAACGTTAACGCGAAAGTGCTCGCCATATTTACCAATCGGTGTTCAATAAGAGAGAGATAGTATTAAACTCCTGAATCATTTGAGGTAGTAACTCAACTTTGCTATGGCATACTAGATGAACTATTGGAAATGAAATGGTTTCTTTGGTGACGATGAAGGAACAATTGGCTAGTCTGTGATTTTGTTATTTATGCGAAATATTGAAATGCGGTGAAAAGTTTAAAAATGGCAACAGCATGATAGCATTTAATAGAAGTATTTCAAAGTGTTTTTCCAAATAATAATTGTGGGAGTGCTTGCATCTTATAACGACTACAACAAACGCGCAATGGATAAGGATTCTACAAAAAAATTTGAAGACACTGAAAAACGAACTGTTTCGACCTGTATGTACACGCTTATTATCATATTGATCTTTTTCTCTAAAATACTTAAAAATAAAATAACAACTGAAGTCGTGTAAGCAAGCAATGTCGATGATATTTAAATAAAGTATAAATGGCTTGAAACAGAAATTCGTTTAAGGAACGTTTCCCTTCCAATAATGTTGACGATTCATGTAGGCGCAATTTTCGTTATCTCAGCTGAAGTAACTACATAAGCGTTTAATAACTGCCGTACAGAGATGTTATGCAAAAGGCTAAAGCAGCGTTTCAAAATTAAAAAGGTAATTTTGCAGGAGAAATTTTTCTGAAAATTACATTAGCTACTTGAAAATGTATATTTTTATATGCGTCATGTGTTTGCACGTGTTATGCAAAGTTTTATGTCACCATCTTTTATGACCCTTGAATCATCATTTAAGACGTTTATACTATTTATCAGAAGTAGTTTACGATTATTTTTCTGCTATTTGATATATTTACCATTTGCGCTCATTCTATAATTACGGATATAAATAACCAGCTACATTTTTGGAAGTTTTTCTTTGTTACTGGTAACACTTTTGCACAGTAGCACTTAACTGCATAAATAAAATAACGTGAATTTTGAATTAATTTGAAGTTCGCAACCCCTATCAATCACCCCTATATGTCAAGTAAGCTGCTTTCGTGAAGTGTTCAAGTTTTTCGTTCACCACTGATTATTAACCACAAATTATTCAATGGGGAGTAATTTTTATTGTAGATGTTGATATAAAAAACACTCAATAAAAGGTTCGCTAGTCGCATCTCGTATGAACCACCCCTATAGCTTTGTCAATGAAGCCATATGAACCAATAGAGGATACGATAAGCGACACATTTATTGCATGTCTGTACATAAATATTTACAATAAAAATTAATTTCCATGGAATAATTTTTGATTAATAAGTGGTGAATGAAAACTTCGGAAATTTTTGCAAGAACAGCTTATTTGACATATAAAGGTGGTCGATAGGGGATACGACGAGCGAAACATTTACCGAGTGTTTTTTAAAACAATATCTTCGATAAAAATATTTTCAGTAAATAATTATTGGCTAATAAAAAGCCAAGGAATTTTATGCTGCAGTTGGAATGTATCTACGGTAATTTTGTGAATTTTGCATTTTTTTTCTATTTGATTCATTTGTCTTTCAGTACTCTGGGTGTCTTAAAAGACAGCACGTTCAAAAGAGAATGTCACCTCGGCACGCATTTGCAACTGATACCTTTTACGCATACGTTATTCAAATATTCAAATCAACAAATTATAAAAAAAAACATTCAAGCTGTACTACGACTACTAATGAAAAACTTAATTTTTTATGTAAATTGAATCATTAAACTCACCAGGATGAATACGACCAGATTCGGACGCAGGTCCACGATGCATGAGGTCTTTGACGAAAATTCCTTCGCGCATATTACCACAAACACTGAAACCGAGACCAGTAAAGTCTCTGCTCTTCAGTCCGACCACGCAGACACGCGTCGCCTTTGGCTGCAAACGATACAATGTTCCAATTAAAATAAATCGTTTTAACTCTGCGAGCGGCTTCTCAAAGCCGGCGCACGTGGGCGCCACGTAATTACCACCGTTTAGCGCTCGACTGATTTGACCTTACTACTTTTTGGTTCTTTTTCTATTTGCGGCATAACCCATAAGTATGATCGAATTGTTTAACTATTTCGTTTGATTTTAATAATTACAGCTCGCTTTTTTCAATAGATATATATTCAACCCGAAAAATTCAACAATTGGAAATAATTTTTTGTCATCCCTTGAAAACTAGAAGACTCAAGTCAAATAACTATTGATTAATTGTTTCCTCCTTGTACATATGATTAGAAGAGGAAAAAAGCGCAGGACGCAGGAAGGCAAGAATAAACTGACCGTGAGGTAGGAATCATCTAGAGTGCGACGTTTCTCGGCGGTTTTGCCGATATTCGCCCAAGGCGTCGACCATCGTGGCGTCGTCGAGGTCTCGTGTTGTTTCTCGTCGGTCGTGCAGATCGTCGATACCGGTCGCTCGAGGCTTCTGCCCATTGCTGGGGTCGCGTCCTTGAAACATGGATTGTCGAACGCGTATGCTTCGTCCACGATCTCCGGGTCTGTTACTAATACCAGATGCTTGCCTGTAATCATTAAGATTCATATACATGATTCGTTGGAAATTGAAGAGATTATAGTTTTATTATTTTTATATTATTTTATTGTAATATACAATATTTTCACGATTTATTACTATTTTTTATGCTCATATGTATGCGGAATGATATGAAAGATGTTTCGATTCAGCAGTATTTGATAGAATTTTCATATTACGTACACGCTTTTAATTTTTTAGTATTATCACTTTATAGAACATTAGAAACCGAAAAACATTTTGGCTCATCACGTGACCCATTATTCTAAGACTTTTATGCTCATAGCAGCGCTAGAAAAATGATTTCTCATGGTTTTTAGGAATTTGGCGAGAAATAAAAAATGGCAGTATAAATGTAACTTCAGATTCGAATACTACGAATCAATACACGTTGAAAAAACATATCGTGATTTATTTCGTGTTCGAAATTTTAATCCCTTTTGTTTCAATAGCTTAAAAAAATTAAAAGTTGACGAAAGTATAAAAAAGAAAAACAGTCTCGTATATTATTTTATTTTACTACTCAGAGTACTTTTCCCATACAGATTTTCATTGTCGTTTAAACATAAGATGACAAAGTACTCTTATAGTGCGTTCCTCTTTCGAGTGTCCGTTTAGAAATGATAAGGTTACATGTCAGTTCTTATAGGACGCGCAACAGTACACATACTTTCATGATTGTATAATGTGAACAGCTATGACGAGTAATGTGTATACTATGGCGAAATACAAAGTATATAGTCATATATTTGATGAGTACGTATTTCTTGTTTTATTTCTTTACATGATACGTGGTCCTGTAATCTCGAATCAAATACACAAATGCCTTAGTATAAGAGCTTTTCCAAGTATAGCCAAGTTTTCTAAAGTGAAACTTGAAAACAGTGTATATTAAAGTGTATTGCTTTCTCGTTTTTCTCCAAAGAAAAAGTTAACTCAATATCCCCGAAAGAGCGTCGCAATATTTTCAAAGTAACGTCATGTGTCAGATTCAATTAACTGTTATCACAATTAGTTTGTCACCGCGCTTATGTATGTATGTCATATATAAGATGTGCTGATCTATTGGTATGGCATTCGAGACAAGCGAGCGCGCGCGAGTCGAATAAATCAAATACGAAAAAGGGCATCGCGCGGCATGAAGCAAGTCCATGTTTGGACGGAAACTCACGCGACGGAAGGAAGCGACACATTCTTTTGCGGCGGGAGGCACACGGTCTATTTTTATATTGGTACGCGTACTCCATTGAATATATATATATATATATATATATATATATATATATATATATATATATATATATATATATATATATCGTCGTGAGACAAGTTCCATAGGATCTGATATGACACAGGGAAATGAAAATGCATGAAGCTTATAATAATGGTTCACGTGGATTTTAAATTGGATGGTGTTTATTAAGTTTTCATAAGACATTTCATCCTTCACGGCGGTTTTTCTTTTACGAAATGTAATGTAATTGAATAATTAACGTTTCATAACAATAATGTTATATAGCTAACGATTATTGCACAATCGATTGGATAGTCAACTTGAGGCAAATGACTCGTTCAATCGCGCAAGTATGTATATAAATTTTGCAAACAGTGACAACACACAGGTTTCGTAATAAATTAGTGATATACCTGGCGCAAGTTTTATATTGATTTGTATGCAAATATGTCTGACTGTCTCTCAAATGTTTATAATAAGGCAACAGCAAGGATTTGTGCATAAATCTTTTTCATTGTACAGCAATGCAAAATGCCTAGGCACCAATTGGCAAGGAAAGAAAATGATCGTATTGCACTAGCGAAGTATTCGGAAACGTAGATGAATGCCTCGAACACTGTGTGAATTACCTACTTTTAGCGATTATTTATGACGAGCTCGAACAACGAGGTTGTATTTGAGTTGGCGACAGAGACGCGCCGCAGCGAAAAACGAGATGGAGAATAGTTCAGTTGGCTAAACTGCTCGGCGAGCGCGGGAAAATTCATTGGACTTTGAGAAAAAGCAGAGGGGAGGTCCTAGAGTATGGCAGCGGCCTACAAACCCATATGGGATCCGCGCGATAAAGCGTAACGCATTTCTGGAGCAGCGCACTCTGAGAGTAACTTTGCGATTACACGCTCTTTCTGCGCGCGCTTCAGCCAATAATTACATGTGTGCTTTGTAGTTTTCTTCCTTTTTTGGGGGGAAGGGGGGCGGTATCTCACAACTTTCCCCATTCGTAATATTGTTTACAGTAACGCTCGCTGTGTAACATTTGGTTTTGGATGGAATTAGATTTTTGGTAGCCCGTTCGAAGCGCGGAAGCTCTTCAATATTGGTCTTTCGTGTTGAGCTGTGCGTCGCTCGGCAGCGATTAACGGATTTATCGAGCTACAGTCAAATCGTGTACCTTGTTACGTGCTTGTATGAACCGTTGAAATGTCGTCGCGATGAATTTCATTCCAGTGAAGCTCTTAACTTTTTCGCTGTTGAGTTACCTTTTCATGGCAATTGGAACTATGATTTTTGTTTTTTCTCTTTTTTCCTCTCAGTAATTATGCAGAAAACGAAGGATGTCATTTGAAAATGCTGCATGTCTTATTGAATAACATCGACAAACCAAAAGCGCATTTGAAAGGATGGCAATTTATGGTATTTTTTTCATGGGATCCCCTATACATTTATTTGAAGATTATTGCCCAAGCAATGTGGCGCATAACAATAAGAAAATGCACACATTGATAAATGATTGAAAATTCGTTGTGAGACAGACGGATCTCGGAAAGCCGAATGAAATAAAAGAACGGAAATATATCTACGTCAGACGACCTTTGGAAAACAACTGGAGCGATAAAGGCGGCGTAAAATTAGTTTCGCCCTCGAATTTTCACGCCGATAAGAGAGTCTTACGAAGTACGCGCGAGTTTTCCCGGGCATGCAAGCTAATCTAAATTGCAGCTATGCTCGCGCGCGCATATCAACACAAACGCGAAGGAGGAGGGGGATGGGAGGGGGAGAAAAAGCTGCGGTTTACGCCTGTGTGTGCGACGACGCCAATGGGCGCATACCATGGGCGCCAAGGTGATCTGGCTGCCGCTGCCATATACTCCCTACCTTTTGCCGCCAGTGCCGCACGCAGGTGTGCCCGATTTCTCCGTTTCGAGATTTGCTGCTACTGCGCGAGATGAGCTGCGCTCCTTTGCCTTCGTCATTCTTTATTTCTCATCGCGGTTTCGGTCGCAAGGTTCTTGCGAGTTCTTTTTTTTTTTGGGGGACTTTCTGAAAATTTTTGTTGTCTTCAGACACGTGAACGCGAAGTCGATGGAATGAAACCGTGACACCACCGCAGAACTTCCTTTTTTCTTCTTGTTCGCTCGAACAAAATGCAACGGCGCACTCTAGCATAGACGTTTTGGTAATTGTTAAGAGAGAAAGAATACCGCGGGTTGTAAATCCACGTTACACTGCGATTTTACTGATCATTCATGTGAGCTCAGCGATTCAGACAACACGACACGATCTTTTGTTATGTTTTTTTTTTCAACTAGAATATCCTTCGTCGGGTAGCGATAAATCATTAATTTTTTTTATTTTTTTTTTTTAAAGCAACAACGCTCTCACTTAGATGCGAAAAGTTCGGTCTTCAAAAAAAATCTCGCCTCATTACGTTCACAGTGTGATGTACACAATGTTCCTTTTTTTCTTTTCTTAATCCCAACCACAACCGGATATATCAAGTTTCTTATTAACGATTTTTCATCTCTTCCGCGCGTGCATTCCGCATATCGACCTCAATCTTCAACGAGCGCAGCGGCTGCTGCACCTCTTTGCAACAATTAGTCATCTCTGTTGTACAAATACTACAGTCCACCCACTCTCTCTGCCTCTTTAAAGTGGAATCCTTTTTCTTCTTTCTTTCAATTATCGCATGGTAGTTGATAATTTTTTGTTATGACGCATTGCCTTAAACCCCAAGATGAAAACAATGAAGTCATAATTTTTTTCGTCTTCGCAATATTTGCAGTGACTGCCGTACCGCTTATGTAACGGCTGTTAAAGTTCTTCCAACATTACGCGCGAGAGTGCTTTATTATCCATTTTTTTTGAAAAAGCAAATTTTCTCGTTAATTAGGCTACACTAATAAAATGTTTTTATTTAGCGCCTCGCACAATCGAATAATTTACATAGAAGTTGACAAGTATTTTGATATTTACTCTGCAAACATATACTTCCTCGAATAATGATCACATGGGGCCTTCCCTTTCAAAGTTCAAGCAAAAAAAGGAATCTTAGTATTTCTTTCGCGTTAAATGAGAAAACCAGAAAGACCTAAAGCAGTTGGTGCCCGGACTTACCCAAGTTTGTCGTTAGTACTTTTCTACGCAATAACAACTTTGAGCGGAACGTTTGGCTGACCAGGAGCGTTTATGGCGCGACCGCAATGGAGATAATTGCCTTTTTCTCTCTTTACGCAAGGCATTGTTCACCGCAAGCGAAAGTGCGAATTGATGCGCACACTCTATTATATACATATACATATATATATATATATATATATATATATATATATATATATATATATATATATAACACATAAATTGAAACAAAGTTGTCAACAACGTTACGTCACCAGATTGTATGTGGCCAGTGGTGACGTAATGTTCATCAGTGCCATAGCGAAACTAGGGCTATAATCTTGTCATGATACAAATAATTTTTGAATGCACGGCAGACGCAGCATCGACGAAATATCTATCAATCGCATTCGATTGAGAGTGCCTACAAATTGATTTCTTCGTTTTTCCTCTGCAACCCTGATTTATACATTTATGCTAAAAAGAACTCATTCGCGATTCATTCGCAATTATAGCCATAGCTGCTGCGCTCGCAATTATTTGCAATTACCTCCCGTGAAGAAATGAGTGTGTACGAGTGTACATTGACTCTTGAGCATTAGGCTTCCGCGCCATAGCGCGATTGATCAATTTTCTGT